ATTCGGATATCTTAATTAGAATCTCGCTTTTCTGAATAGTGTTTTACGGCCTCTGGCCTATACGTTGGATGTTGATGGTATCTAACAAATACTATTTATTGTATAGACATAAGAAGTGATTACTTTCGGGTTTTTTACAATATTGAAAAAAAAGTGATTGAGCTCACGTTCAGAAGATGAACATTGAAGCTGGAGTCGGGCGTGGAACAATTGAGTGAATTATGAGGCTAACCACAAAATTTTCATTTTGACGTATTTTCTTCAGCTTTTGCTTGTGAAATTGCTAGTGACACATCATAAAATGTTTTTTGCTGTTTTTTTGTATCATCATTCGAATCTCGCATACTTGATGTAACAAATAATGCATCAAAGCTATATGGGGTATCGGTCAGGAGCTCTAGACAATGCAGGGCCGTTTTTTGTTTTTTTGGCATTCTAGTGTCCCTAGAATCAGTGTCACAAAAATCCAGAATAAGTTTCTTAGGTATTTGCATAACGAGTAAATAGGAATAACTATATCTTCGATATCTCACAGTAATTCAACTGGGAATATAGTTCCTGACTACAGACGAAAATATTTTATATTTCTGATCAAAATTCTGCGTACTGATATATGCCTTCTTTTGCAAATCTATTGTAATACTCCTGCATATTCAACAAGATGTTAGTACTCATAATGCAACCATCCATTAGTAAAGCTATATCTTTGATGTTCCACAGTAATTCTACTAGAAAAATACGAGATTCCTACTGCAGATAAAAATATTAAAAATTCTTATTATATTAGAAAATGCTGCACACTGATATAGATAGCACCTGTCCCCTTTTGCAAATCAATTCCCCAATGTTCCTGCATACGAAACAAGATGGTTGCACAACGTGTAAATATCTAAAACTACATCTTTGATTTCTCACAGTAATTCTACTAGAAAAATACGACTTTTCTACTACAGAAGAACATATTCATTATTTCTACACAATGCTGTGTAGAAAATCCTGCACTCTGATATAGATAGCACCTGCCCCCTTCTTCAAATTAATTTCTCAATGTTCCTGCATATGAAACAAGATGGTTGCACAACGTGTAAATATCTAAAAATACATCTTTGATGTCCCACAGTAATTCAACTAGAAAAATACGACTTTTCTACTACAAAAGAACATATTCATTATTTCTACACAATGCTGTATGGAAAATGCTACTCTGATATAGATAGCACCTGTCCCCTTCTGCAAATCAATTTCTCAATGTTCCTGCATATGAAATAAGATGGTTGCACAACGTGTAAATATCTAAAACTACATCTTTGATTTCTCACAGTAATTCTACTAGAAAAATACTAATTTTCTACTACAGAAGAACATATTCAGTATTCCTACACAATGATGTATAGAAAATCCTGCACTCTGATATAGATAGCACCTGCCCCCTTCTGCAAATCAATTTCTCAATGTTCCTGCATATGAA